GAGCCTTTATTGTTAAATACGATTGCCGTTATTATTGAATTTCATTAGTTCCAGTTATGATTTATGCGCGGCTGTTCACGGAAATGTGAGCAAGACACGACAATATCATGATTATGGTTAAATAAGATAAAAGACATAACTAAATTAGGCTACAATTATTTTCATATGAAATATCTTAGCACACCATTAAATATGACATTAAGCGCAACTTAGATTTATATAGTAAAAAGGCTTGACTGCTTCCTTTTGGTGTATATTTGTATACTTTCACCATCTAATCAATCTCAGCATGCGTTAATTTTGTGTCTCTAAACGTTTGCCTCACTAAGGTTAAATTATGCCTACGTCTTTCTTTGGCCTTCGCTCTGGAAGTGATCTGTTGATTCGGCTAAACTTTAATTAAAACTGAAACTAAACTATATAAAAACTCAATAAAAATGTGTTCACAAAATAAAAACTACACAAAAACTAACAAAAATATTAATTAAACTAATAAAACCTAAACTGAATTTTATAGCAAAGTTGAAAACGATATTAAAATAAAACGAATTCAAAACATTCAAAACTATTAATAGCCTTGGTTCTCACGTGTCTTGTGATCATTTACAACATGCTGGGTTTGAACATACAAATTTGAGAGCATTTTTGAGTGGGCTGTTCCTAAATCTTTGCTCCTGAAGTTTATGATATTATGCATGGGTATGCAAACAGACATGCTTCCATTAAGGTTCTTATGGTCATGAAGACATTTCAGGGAATTGTAAAATTGTGATTTATAGCCCTGAAATATTTGTGATACTTGTGGAAATCAGTAAAAACTAAAAAATATAGTGTAATTTTATATAGTGAAAAAAATATTAATTTTAATAAAAATAATAATTATTACTGGCATCTCAAGACACACCATTATTAGTTCTCATGTGTCTTGTGATTGATTACGACACGTTGGGTTTTAAATATGCAAATTTGAGAGCATTTTAGTTAGACTATTCCTTTGATAATACACTGCAATGCGGTTTTAGAATTATTTATATACTATTATATAATAAAAGCTTTTATTTTATGTTCATGTTCATTTTAAGCTTTAGTCATTTTATTTGTGCTTTTGTCATTTTTATCAGTTTTTGCATTTTTAATATTTCTATTGTTAGCTTTAATTTATTTTTATTTCAGTTTTAGTTATTTTAGTACTTAAAGTTTCAACTTATTTCTAACTTGTTTAGCTGCCAGGGCTACATTTCTAATTTTCATTTACGTTTGTCATCTAACATTTATATTTAATTTCAGCTTTGTTTCAGTTAATGTAAACAGTTTTTAAAGTTTTTTTTTTTTTAGTTGTTTTGTTTTTTCGTCATTAATGTCATGTAGGATGTTTAAAAGGTCATGCGACATCTCTCTGTCCTATCAGAGTAAGAACTTGCCGCAGTGCCGCGCTGAATATAACGTCTACAGCACGTTCCAGAGTCACGAGCCGGAGTTCGACTATCTGAAGAGTCTGGAAATCGAGGAAAAGATCAACAAGATCCGCTGGCTTCCTCAGAAAAATGCTGCACACTTCCTGTTGTCCACAAACGGTGAGCTAACAGATGAAATGTGCAGATGTTATTTTAATATTACTTCTATTAATAATTTTTTTAATTGGCTTTCATTTGAATTTTCACATTTTAATAATTTTATGCATTCTTTTTTGTTTTTTGTTTTTTTTATTTGTGTAATTTTAATACTTCTGCTTAAACATGCTTGTGACCCTAGACCACAAAACCAGTCATAAGGGTCAATTTTTTGAAATTGAGATTTATACATAAATAATAATAATAGTAAATTATACAATACATAAGCTGTCCATTGATGTATGGTTTGTTAGGATAGGACAATATTTGGCCAAGATACAACTATTTGAAAATCTGTAATCTGACTGAGAAATACAAACTACTGAGAAAATCATCTTTAAAGTTGTCCAAATGAAGTTCTTAGCCATGCATATTACTAATCAAAAATGAAGTTTTAATATATTTACGGTAGGAAATTTGCAAAATATCTTCATGGAACACTATCTTTACTTAATATCCTAATGATTTTTGGCATAAAAGAAAAATCAATAAATTTGACCCAATGTTTTTTTTTTGACTATTGCTACAAATATACCCCTTTTATTTAAGACTGGTTTTGTGGTCCATGGTCACATTTAAGTGATATCAATTTAATTCCCAAGGCAACATTTCAAATTTTACATTTTTCCATACAATATTATCAATTTATTTTCAGTAGTTCAGTTAATAATAACAGCACCGGTGCAAATACAGACACATTAACACATTTATATGTGTGGGCTGCTCTGTTATCAAATATGTAGATTATTCAATGCTCCATTGCAGATAAAACCATCAAGCTCTGGAAAATCAGTGAACGAGACAAGCGACCAGAGGGTTATAACCTCAAAGAAGAGGATGGCCGCTACAGGCATCCATCATCCCTCACAACACTACGGGTGTGAACACACTCACACACACATTATTGATTTTTAATGCATTAATAAGTCTATAGGAGTAACAGGCTTTGCTCCGCACAGGTTCCAGTGTTCCAGCCGATGGACCTGATGGTGGAGGCGAGTCCGCGGCGGGTTTACTCCAATGCTCACACCTACCACATCAACTCTATCTCTGTCAACAGCGACAACGAGACGTATCTGTCTGCCGATGACCTCCGAATCAATCTGTGGCACCTGGACTTCACCGACCGAAGCTTCAGTATCCTGTTTATCCATTTATTTCTTTATTCATACGCTACTGTTCAAAAGTTAGGGATTGGGAAGGTTTTGCTCACCAAGGCTGCATTTATTTGATCGAAAATTCTGTAATTTAAAATAATTGTTTTCTATTTGAATATATTCTGAAATGTAATTTATTAGGAATGCACGATATTATCGGACTGGTATCGGAATCGGCCGATAATGGCTTTAAATGTAAATATCGGCATC